CTGAGACTAGACTCTGAGACTAGACTCTGACACTAAACTGAGACTAAACTCTGAGACTAAACTCTGAGACTAAACTCTGAGTCTAACAATAAACTCTGAGAACTCGTTCGAGTGAGCTGTGACGAAAACCCCTCCTTAATAAAACCGCGATGTCGAGAGCAAATAAAAGGGCAGAACCTCTATTTTAATCTCGTGGCCCAAGGAGCATGACTGTGTACCAGTTTGGCTCATGCTTTTATCAAACATCGGTGTTCATGACTAGATGAAGCTGGAAGCTGACAGTGCAGTGTAGTGGCAGCGACACGGCTGCTGATTCCAGCATGTTGTATTTCATGCTGTCAGCAGCTGTAAGTAGCAATGACAACAGAAAGTCTGACTTTTGCTGCGCAGACTCTCCACCTAACTGTTGTTACCTGGTGCTATGTACATAAAGCAGTGATGGCAAACAGCATCTGCACATCTGTTGAAGGTGATCGCTCTATTTAGAAGAGTGGACTTTATTCCATCCATTAAATATTGGTTGATAAAGTTTGCAAACACAGAGCACTTTCTTTAGTCTAACATCAGAACATCGGTCATTAATGGGACTCTCAATATGCCAAATTCATGTTTGAATGTATTATTAACATAATGAACATTAGTCAATCCTGCACACAGAGTGTGCTACATGTGGCACAGTAACAGTACCTTAGTTATGTCTCAAGAACCAAGAAGGGAAATCCCAGAACGTTGTCTGTGTTTGTGTGGATGCTGCGCTTTGTTTGGGAGAAACGTTTCACGGCCCATCCGGGTCAGGCTGCAGCTTTCCCACCGTGCACACAGCACAGCTGACACGAGCACCACTAGCTCCGTTTCATAAACATTAATATGCAAATTGTCATGAACATTGATCGCTGACCACGAGTGCGATTCACAGAGTCGGGACTGGCAGCATTCACGGCGCTGACTCTCGTCCCGTGGATGGGCTGCAGCTTTCCTCAGTCCTGTTGGGATAATCGCCTCGATCTCTTTGATGGTCCTTTTCTGGGCTCTGCTTTCCAAAGTCCAGAGTTCCAATCAGAGGTCTTTATGGCCCGGATAAGGTGAACAGTCGAAAGGAAAAGTGGACATAGAAGGCACGTTGTAGCGGGACAGTGGGTTTCATCTTATTTTAGCTGATATGAAGAAGACGCGTGTCCTGGTTTGATGGGAGGAGCTGCGAGGGGCGGGCTGCTGCAGGAAGGCTAGGATACCACAGCTGTGCAGCGGCTAGGAGTCCATGTTGCTGCACGATTACAAAAGCTATAACAAACTGAGTAATGTTGTTGTAAAAAAATTCCAGACTCTTCCGTTGAAGCACTTTAAAGGTTCCCCTTTGTTAGAAGGGAAAAACTGGAGTCGCGGTTTGATTCCATGCTCTCTGTATCAGCGTCATCATGACAGTATCGTGGACGAGTGGCCTTCTCAGACCTGTGCAGTGACTCTGACGTGTTGGCACTTTGTTGAAACACATCTTGTTGCCCAAGCTCGCACCTCCTCGTTGTGCTGACTACATTTATGTGTGTGCACTCCACATTCATATTGAATTGATGGAAATGTAATAAGCTGTTGTGAAGAGAGGGCATTACATTTGGATTATTGTTATTATTATTTTTGGATGCAGAGCCTGACTGGAGAAGCTTTTTCCAGGTCCAGGCCTGAAGATGAATCTTTCAATGTCAGACATTCATTGTCCACATTTCAACACATCACAGGACTGTAAAAAGATGTAAAGTGAAACATATATATCAGAGTCGTGTTAGTGTGTGTTGGTGTCTGACTGTAATCGGCTGTAGCAGCTAAAACAAATACTTTGCCTTCGAGTATTCTTTCATGACATGTTTCAGTGTTGATGTCATTAAATATGTAGGAGGTTTGCAGTGAACCTCGCCATGCTGTGCTCATCATTTCTGCTGTGTGCTGTCACTTTGTCATTTGTATGTTCCAGAGCTGTCACTTCAGAGGTGGCTACACTGACTTGACCCGAACCACCGTTTACCTGCACATCCTCTCTGTGGAGACATTCTGCTTTATGTACGAGACGACAGCAGTTAGATCTTTGTGCGTGTCTCAGTGTTCCACAATTGTAATGATTACATTTGCATACACACCCAGTTATCATTATTTTTTATAATTTAATAGATAAAAACATGACAGCAGAAGGTGTTGTGCTTAGCAGTAGGTGTGGCTGTAGCTCAGGAGGCAGAGATCACTTACTAACAGGAAGGTTGCTGCTGTATCTTTATGTGTGGCTGGACAAGTTGTTTTTAAAACTATCAGCACAGCCAGATGAAATGAAGTTGTGTCATACAGTACACTCATACCTGAGATTATAAAAGATATTGAGATATTGTTATCCAGCCACAGTCTGATGTTTCTCTGTTATTTTTAGCCGCTGTTACAGAATTAGACAAATTCAGAGTCGTAGCTAAATCAGGTGATCTGGTGACAAACACACATCTGAACAAGTTGGAGCTTTAGTGCCACCGAGCTACGAGCAGCATTACATCCTCCGGAACAGAGGGTGGCGCTGTTACGGCAAACTGGCTGTGAGCCGCCGTCAAACAGGAGATGCACTTTAGCGGTGAGGTGCTAGTGTTTACCTGCTAGCTGTGCTGCAATGGTGTGAACGACCTCCAGTAGTTTCTTAGTCCTACTCGAGCAGTGAAAGAGCAAAGACCGAGCAGCCAGCGGCTAACAGCCATGTCCAACCGCCTGGCCTTCCAGACCCAGCTGGCCTCCATCATGGAGGTCCTAGCAAACGCAGCGGTGGCGGAAATCTGTAAGCTGGTTGACGACGACTACGCGGTGGTGAGGTTGCAGATGTCTCAGTGCCAGAGAGAGAACAAGGCCCTGAAGAGGAAACTACACCTGCTGGAGCTGAAGATGGCCCGGGGAAATGCCGAGAGGAGGCTCCGGGAGAGTGCCCTGAACAGCAGCCGGCCGAGGGTGCAGATAAACGGCAGCGACAGGCCCCGAGAGCTCTCCACCCCCGCCGGTACGGTCAGCACGAATAATCCGAGCAGTAAGAAGAGTCCAGTCTGAAACCACATCAGGCTTTCTTCACTCACACGTTTATTATGTTGTAAAAAGTCTGGGCCCTGGATAGAGCCGGGGCTACAGTGTGCCTAGCTCGTTTTTCCGGTGTGCAGAGAGGGCACAAAGTGGACACACGAGCATCTCTGGTTCATTCATGCAAACTCAGAAACCTCTTCATTGAGACTCCGCCCATCAGCTGTTATACCGGTACATTACAGAGCACATGTAGAAGCCTCCTACATCAAATCTGCATTTACATATAACCCCATCTTCTTTTCTGATCGGCTGTTTTCAGCTTATTTGTACCTTGTGACAATGAGCCTCCCGTTCTTGGCTTTGGGACAAACGCGATCTTGGTTCATGTTTGTCACCCTGCACTGTGATTTCAGACACGTCACAGGGCTCTGACTAAGGCTTCCCATGGTTGCACTGGTGCGCCTAACGGTTTTTCTTAGGTGCACCAGGACAGAAGATAGGTACAACTGCATCACTTAACACCGCAGTTTTACATGTTGACTTAAAAAAATTGCTGTCCATACAGACAATATTGATTTGTAAATGATTAACGAACAATGTTGTCAACACAAAGTTCTTTATTTGGAGCTCAGTTCTACAAGAAACACAAGTTACTGACAAAGTGCTTAAAGCGCGTCACTGAGCTGAAATTTAACCTCAAAACATCTCAAGACATTCAATGAAAAGAAAATCTAAAAGGACCTCAAAGTGTCTCACGGGCTTCAAACTGAACATCTCGGTGTCGGCACAGCTTGATATCTTATGGACTGTCCTCCATTGCAGTCAGATGGCCAACTCCTGTGATTTGGCCTTTTTCTTCTTTTCATCTTCTCTCATTACCCACAGCTACATCTGCTGCTGTCAGGCCGAGGCTGCTCACCTCTCTGTATCCGCCTGTACTTTCAAACGTACACACACACATAGGCCTACAGGAATATCTGGACCATGGCCAATCGGAGACTATCTTTGATTGGTTAGACCATGATATGGGCATAATGTGTGTCTGTTGTTGACCGCATGGAGACTTTCAGTGTTGTGGGGACTGGCTGGTCTCACCTGTGTGACCTAGAATTTTTTGTTTGAGAAATTTGGTCGCACTCTAGAGCCCTGAATCAGTTGAAAAAGAGGTGCAGGTGGGAAGAGACTACAAACAGCAGAGGAGACGAGAAGATGGTCACACAGACGGTCATTTGGCCAGCCCTCGTTACATGGATATGACAGCAGAGGACTCTAGTGTCCCCCTGCAGTGCCTGGCATAGATGTGTGTTGTAATCTGTTGGTGCTACACAGAGCTTTGGTCCCAAGTGACACCAACACGAACCTCTGTCCTAATGAGGACACGCATGTGATCTTTGTCTTAGTGTTTAGGTCTGAGCACAGAGCAAAGATGGAAACCAGCACAGAGACTTCAAAGTGATTCAGGTAGAAACGGAGGCTGACCGCTCCGATTCTACCTGGGTTGCTCGCTTGGTTGCTGTTTTGATCACGTAAACGATGTATATCTCTGCCCCGTCCTGATCCAGTTTGAAATCGATGTGGAAGAAGTGCAAACTGAATCCCAGCCCTTCTCCATGAGCTATCAGTTAGTCAGATTTTGTTGCTCTATAAAATGACTACTCAACATAAACCAACCATGATGTAACCTTTTTAAGCTTTCTAACCAGCTGTTTAAAGTCTCTGGTTCCCACCATTTGAATCAAATACTTGGCAAAACACTTGAATAACCACGTCGCTCGAGTGACGCTCGGTGGAGTCCTTTATTTACATTTGGGTGGCACATTAGTGGCTGCTAGTATCTCCAGCTTTAAAGCCTGCACTCCACGCTGTCTTTTTGCCTCAGGTGGTTAAACAGGGCTTTGTTGTTTCCACGGTTGTGCGTGTCATGCGAAGTGCCGTCAGGACAACGTTGACGTAGATCCTTTGAAATAAATCTGCCTCTGAGGCTGACGCGTTTGTGTCATCGTTCTGTGCATTAGAGAATGTAAATGCCATTATATCACAATGTGACACTTTATTAATCACATAGTGTTGGCCGTGCTGCAGGTTAGCATCTGAAAGTGTGTTTGAGATGGAGAGGAACAGCTCAACACTTTCACTTGGATCAGGAAGTGTACAAAGTTTAAATGGCAGGAATAATCAAACACGTGATTTATGCAGAACGCCAGCTGATGTTTGAGTGTGAATGCATGGCACGTGCACAAAAATCCCCAGCAATGTACACATCACATTTTAGACAAAATCAAACTGAAACAAATGTTTAGCAAAAAAACATAGTATTACATAATAAGACTCTTTTTTTTTTTTTTGTTTGTTTTCTAATTCAGTTTTATTTACACAGCGCCAAATCACAACAACAGTCGCCTCAAGGTGCTTTATATTGTACAGTAGATGCAGAGAAAACCCAACAATCATGTGACCCCCTATGAGCAGCACTTTGGCGACAGTGGGAAGGAAAAACTTCCTTTTAACAGGAAGAAACCTCCAGCAGAACCAGGCTCAGGGAGGGGCGGGGCCATCTGCTGCAACAGGATAAAGACATGCTGTGGAAGAGAGACAGAGGTTAATAACAGGGATGATGGGGAAACAGGAAGATGAATATTATGGATGCATGTTCTCAAAATACTTCAACTGTAACATTGAAATATTGAATAAAATAAAGTTTCTCTGGTAAGATGCTGATACAGCTGAACACAGTAAAATAAGTAACTTGTGCCTGTCAAACACACCGTCACACCCACATCATGGTTAAAATAAACAGGTGGGCTCTGCCATTACTGCCCTATAGGGACGGAGGGGCGGGATCTATTTACACTGACACAGAGCCGTGTTAGCGTTCACTTCCAATAGTGTAATATGTGAGCCAAACATGAGAATAACATCGGCATTTGAAGACAGCTGCTTTTCTGTCGTGTAGGTGACGTGTTTGACCAGCAGAGGGAGGTGCTTCTGTGGCCCAGCGGAGACGCAACCGGTGAACTGATCCTGTCTGAAAGCATGCACAGTAAGGTAGGCACATCATCACAGGTTAGCGTATGTGCACGCTGCTGTGTGAAGCTGCTATTGGCTGACTGAGAGACGATTCCGTGTTGCTGTGCAGTCTCCAGATGTGGAGCTGGTGGAGCCGGAGGCAGTGCTGGTGAAAGAGGAGAAGGTGCAGGCAGCCACGTCTCGAGATGAAGCGGAGCAGAGTACGTCACTTATAGGAGATGATGGTGAGTACAGACAGAAACACTAAGGCTGCTGAGTGGACGAGTACTGACACTGGGACATTTCCACGCAACATGCCGTGCTGCAGTTTAAAAATCTTAACCTTCGATCAAATCGGTCGTAGTTTAAACCGCACATGCACGTGGTTGGAGGCGTCGCCTCAGAGGAACAAGGCTCGGCTTTTTTCTGTGGGTTTGCTCCTCCCACAGTCCACACACATGCATGTTAGGTTAGTTGGTAATTCTGAAGTTGACCGTGGACATAAAGCATGTGTGGTTAATGCTGTGAGTGGTCCCAACACAGACACACAGCTGAGCGTGTGGGGATTCCCACTGGGAGAGCACTCAGAGTGACCGTGATCAGATAATAACAATACTAACCCATCCAAAGAGACGGCACACAGGTCTGTCATGGTGAACAAATCACTACTGTCATTTAACTGGATGCAACATCTGTACAACATCTGTACAACTGAACCCTTTTATGTGTCATTAAAATGATACTTTTTAAAGAAAACGTCCTAAATGAGTAAATAAGTGTGTTAGTGAGTGACAGGTGTGACCTGTAGGTTTAGACGCTGGTGTGCACAGACAGTATTCAGGTTAGGATGTAGGTGTCAGTAAAATAGTTTCTTGGTCACATTTGTGTTTGGATTGAAGCACTCGAGTCCTCAGAAGGCAAAGCTTTACATTTGTAGAGTAGGTAGGCTCACATCGTACACATTTGTAGCTCTGACTGTACTCGTACAGCCTAAACTCGGACATGAAGACGGTGCTCTGTCCTCCTGGAGGAGTTTTACATGAAGAGGAGGAACAAAAAGCTCAGATCTGCTGCATCAGATCAGAGTGTGTGTGTTAGCCTCACACAGAGCGAGCGTGTGGCTGCTCTCAGGTTTGCTGTGCGGTTGCGTGTTGTTGTACGCTCCTACAGCAGGTCTGCTTTTAGGCACAAATGTAAACTGCAGCTCTAAGCAGCGTGCTTACAAGCTGCGCTCTGCATCAAATGCATCCAAGCAAAAACAATGCATTGAGGAGTTTTTATAATTTCTACAACAGAGAGGTTCACATATTTCAGGACATGAGTGCTGCAGGTACAACGGAGCACAGCAGGGTTTCATATCCTCTAAAGCTGTTTGTTTGGATATGAAACATGTTTGACCATGAAAGAGTTAAAACACTGTAGAACAGCTCGTATATTAAAAACATTAAAACAATGCAAAGCCAAACAGGACAGGCTGTTACAGCCATGTTGCCTCATAACAGCTGTGACTCCTCCCACACCGAGTGTGATGATGAGCAGGGGCAGGTAAAGTTCACATGTGAGAGTCGGTGGACATTTCCTTGCATATTTTATATCCTGCTTAGACCGTCGTGGTAAGAAAGTCGTCTCTTATTTCTGAGATTTGATGTGTGGTGTTGTGAAACTGCAGAGAGCTCAAACAGCAGTAGTTTCTGGTCTTAGGCTGTAAGCTCAGATATCGATGTGGTCTTCAGTTCTCCAGGCTCCTCTGTCAGGTTTGAGCCCACGCTGCTTCAGTAACGATGGGCGGTGTGACCGCCCAACAATCAATATGCTGCCAGTCAGACTCTGTGCAGATCTGCTAAAATATTTTCATACAAGAATCTATTTAACATATTAGAGACCTCAGAGGAGGTTTCACAGTGTGGTGGTTAATGGAGTCACTCACAAAGGGAATGATTGCTGGTTCTTTCTTTGGCCCGGTGAGGAAGGCCATCCGACAGAAAGCTTCCGTGGCGACTCTGTGACGGCAGCAGCCAACGGTATCTGTTAGAGACTTTGGAGAAACGTTGTTGTGCCTCGTTCTACATCTGTGACTCTGAAAGTCGTCTCCCTGTTTTCCCTGAGAGTGTGCAGAGCTGCGTATCCACACGTGTTACAGCCAGTACTTAAATAGCAGTTAGCATTATAGAATAGTGCTCTACTAATTGAGTGTAATGGTAAACTGAGTTTTCTTTCTGTGTTTGAAGGGCTGATGGAGTGTGTCCTTCATGGAGCTGAAGGTCAGATGCCTGGCCCCGAGGACCAGGACGCCCAGTCCGTGTCTACTCGATCCCAGTCGCAGAGCCAGGCGTGCAGGACGAAGCTTACCGGCAGCAGGGGAGTGGAGGTCAGTGGCTCCTCTCCTCTTAAGTGTGAACTCACTGCTTCTGTTGAAGGCAGAGACTCGCTGCAGGAAGTGGCGATCCCACACCGGTACGTCGACGATGGCAGCAGCGACTCAAAGTTTGACGTCTTGTGTGACATCGATAAAACCGGTCACTCGTTGGTCGGGGAGTTTTTTGACGAGCCCTCAAATGTTGACGTGGAAGGAACGAGTCCGTCGTGTTCGTACTCGATGGCGGCCGTCGATTTGCCGTCAACTTCTTCCGGTGTTAATGGCTGGAATCGCTATGACAACGTGTTTTCCTTGCCCCGGCCCTTCACTGACGGCAGCAAAGCGTTCCCGCGCACTGGCAGGGAAAGACTGTTTGCCTGCAGCTACTGCGGCAAAGCTTTTAACCGGCCCAAGAAAGTGGAGATACACCAGCGTGTCCACACAGGGGAGAAGCCTTTCAGCTGCTCCACATGCGGGAAGATGTTCTCAGAGGCCGGGAACCTGAGAAAACACCAGAGAGTCCACACTGGGGAGAAACCGTACACCTGTGGGGTGTGTGGCAGGGGATTTGCCTGGATAAGAAACCTGAAAACACACCAACAAAAGAGCCACGCTGACGTTTACAACGCAGAGACCTGGGAGGGTAAATGAGCTGCATTTGTGTGAAAGGTGCAGAGACACTGGAAGGCCGCTTTGTGCTGGACAGAATGGAAAGTAAATCTGTGGCGACTACAGTCGTTGTTTTTACACGAGTGAAATTTACACTCCTCCCACATGATACTCAACATTGGAATCAGGGCAGTGTGTCAGCTAGCCGTTACAGCAGAGCTGTAAAGCAGAGTGAAGCTCTGTTTGCTTCCACATCTGTGTGTGTTTCTGTAAAAGCAGGCAGCCAGGCCTCCTCTGATTGGTCAGGTCCAGTGTCCTGGTTCTCGCTCTGCTGGTTTGTGTATGCCCCCGTGCAGGCGTCGTCTGTAAGCCAGACGCTGTGGTGTTATAGATGTATGATTTGTAAAAAAACACGTCAACATAGCATTTTGTTTCATGGCGTCTAAAATAATAACTTTATGATAAAACAAATCGTAGTTTACAAAAAGATGCTTGAAACATTTTCAGGAGGCTGAATAGAAAAGGTTGAAGTTACATCTCCAGTCGTAGAACCAAAATCAGCACCCAGGCAGGGCTGTAAGACAGGACGCTATGTCTCTGATGGCGATATAAAAACGTCGTTTCATTTTACGCTGTCGTTTGTTTCATGGTGTCACACAATAAAGTGTTTACAGCAATATCATGGTCCTGATGGTCGCGGTAGTGGCTACATTCATTTCTTAACGTTCTCTGTTTCTCTTATATTTAATATAACCACACTACGGACGGACAAGCGCCTGTTTTTACATGTTGTCGTTAGCAACAACGACAGTAAACCCAGCATGAGGCTCCGCCGTCCTCTTGTTTATTTTCCACATAAACCTTTCACAATAAAGCTTAAGATCCTGTTGAGATTTTTCAAAATAAACTGAAATGATGACAAACAGAAGGACCAGTCCAAACAAATCGAGGACCTTATTGGTAACCGAGGGGCCACCTCTGTAGCACGGACGTGGTTTGGTTATGAAGAGTCTGACACGGACCAGAACAATCATGGTGCAAACTGGTCTCAGACTCAAACATGACAAACCTCTTCTACCACCTACTGTTACGCCCCTGTCGAGGGGTACAGGAACGAAGCATAAGCTGAAAGAAGAGTGACCCCGCCCTGGTCCCCAAAACCACACCACAGCCGATTTAGATGTGAAAGTGGTTTATTGTGCCTAAACTGCAGCGTGACTCAACAAACAACAAAGGCCAAAATAACAAACAAAACCAGTCAAGGGGGTGCTACCTGAACCCTACGTGATAAAAAGAACAAACCAAAGACAAATGCTACCCCCAACTGAATAAACATGAGAAAATAATACAGAAAATAACAAGGCAGCTCACCCTTCGGCTTCAGTGACTATTTACACGTGACTCTAAACTACACACTACATACAGAAGCTCAGCAATCCTCAGGAGCACACACGCGAGTAACACAGGGTCTGGAGGCCAAGCATGGGTCTGCTGCTGCTGTCAGTGTTGCCAACTCCTCAGTAAGGAAAATCGCTATTGGCTGTCCTAAAAGTTGCTAGAAGTCGCCAAATGACGTCATCGCCTAATCTGCATAATTGGTCATGCTAATGTAATTGTAACCTACGCTGTTGGAGAGAGAAATAACATCGTGGAAGAGACATAAAGTGAGTAAAAAACGTCCTAAATGCATTTAGAGTTTATTTAGAACTACAAATTAAATTTCTTTTAGCAATTATTGTTTTTTAATGTCACAATTCCAACCCTGCTCCTTTACCCGGGCTTGGACCGGCAAAAGTGACCCGAAATAGGCACTCTGGTGGAGTTACTTTGTGTGTGTTTTTATAAAGTTTTACACCTTGTGATCCACAAAACAGCAAAACAGCAAAAGAGTAAAAGAAGAGCTGACTGCGTTACAGTCAGTGCGGGTGCAGCGGCTTCGCTCATACGCGATTCATTTGCCGTTTGGATGCACAGGTGTGAACGTCTCCTGCCCTGATAGCAGCGGGGGGAGGACTATCGTCCGCCCGTGAGCGCTTTGGCACGGGTGAGGTGTCCACGGCAGCACCGCTGCTTGTTGAGAAAAAGAGCGATACGCATTTTCACGTCAAAAAGTCGTCATAAATAAGTCTCCAGTAACACCAGAAAAAGTCGCCAGATTTGTCGCTAGTCGCTTTTTAGAAAAAATGTCGCTAAGGGGTCTGAAAACTCGCTAAATATAGCGACGAAGTTGGCAACACTGGCTGCTGTCAGCTGCTGGTGACAGATTTTCAAAGCAGCCACATGATCAGGGGACCAATCAGCAGCCGTCAGCTTCTCCAATCAGGGACCTGCAGAGACTTTTAAAGACACAGACAGGCAGAACGAAAAACAGCCACCACGACACATTATGGCCAGGGCCGTAACACCTACACAAGAATCCCCTGACAGAGTACGGAGAGAGTTTACGGACGAGAAGCAAAAAGAGCCGTCAGGTGCTCCAAATAAACCTTAGACTCTCTACACTCTGCGGGCTGTTTAATGCATCGGTCTAAACACTCGACTGCAGGTACACGACGCCCAGCTGAAAACACTTCACGCAGGTCGAGTCGGCCGAGATTCACAGAATTTACAGCAAATTCACTATTTTGTGATATATATGGTTGTGATTTGGGATTTTGGTCATATCGCACAGCCCTACACCCGGGTTAAGAGCACATGTTGTTCAAAGGCTCAGCACTGTGCTACCTTTACCTGTGCTGCTGTGGATGAAGCTGCATTAGTTTGATCAGTGAGATGTGCAGACAGCAGATTAATGTGTGTATCACTACTGTACCAGGGGACAAACTGCAGCGCGCTCTCGGTAGTGAACGAGCGCGTCAGCCAGTGCAACGACGTGACTCGCCCTCACTGTGGCACAGAGGAATACGATGTGTGACGAGACCTGAAACCGTGCTGCCGTCAGTGCACGTAGTGACCTGCTGTCAAAGGTTTGTGGCCCACAAAAGCACGTTTACATCAGCTGTTACATTAAAATGTGTCCAGTCACATTTACAGACTGGCTGTTTTAACCTTTGGGAGGGAGACTGTGCTAAGCATGAACACTGCTAACCTAGCAGTTAGTAACAGTGATGTTTGTCACACGCTGTTGGGTTGGAATTGATCTGAAATGGCTTTGTTTGAATTGCAAAGTATTTTAGTTACCGAGTCTACATTTGTTTGTAGCTCATGTTAGCGTCAGAGCATTGCTCATTTTGGTAGGTTTCCACTTTCTGCATGCATCATTTCATTAAGGAATAAAATGTTGTCTTTTACCTCAAATGCGTGGGTTATTTGTTTTCAGACCCTGCAGAAACATTACAGCTGATAAATGATAAATAAAGCTTCATATGTAACCCTTGACACCTGCATGAAGGCGTCCTCGGCTGTTGTACTGCATACTAGGCTGGGTATCGTCACTGATTTCTAGAATCGATTCGATCCACGATTCCATTCGATTTGAGTCGGGGAAATTTTGCCTCAGACAGTCAGAAATATTATAAGTCAGATCATGCATCAGTACATTTCCATATTTTTATATCTATAAAAAGAAAGCTGACACTTGTGAGACTTTATCAAAGGTGTGAGCATCACAGCAGAGGCCTTTGTGTCAAAGTAGCTGAAGATAAAACACAGAAAAGCATGAAGGAGAATTTCCTGGCCTGGATTTTATAAAAATATTCTGCAGTAGATCAAAAACGAAAGAAAACCATGAATCAACACATGAACATTACCTGATGCTGCTGAAGTGAAACAGAGCAAACTTACAGCAGTTTTACAGACACAGCTGAGAGTTTTGCAGTTTTGCATAATTTTAAAAAGTTTAAATATGTTCAGTATTGAACGGCAGAAATTAGGTTTTCTTTTCGGAAGTAAGTAAAACGAAAAAAACAGCGTCCGACAGCCTGTAAACAACGGTAGACTTGTGCGTAACAAGCAAGCGAATAATGCAGAAAACAGATTTTTAGACGGGAAACTGTTGTTGGAGAGAGAGAGAGCTGTGCATCGTGGTGGAAGCAAAACAGCAAAAGTCAGAGTGAATTCATGACGATGTTTATGTGAAGCAGTTTGGATCTTTTGCTGCTGGTTCGGTCAATATTGTTTGGAGAGAGATCAAACTAACAGCTTCAGAATCAGCGCAAAAACGATGTAAACACAAAGCTCGACCCACCGACACATCAGACTCAGCGAGCTGTCGGCTTTCAGCCCCGACCGTGTACGTGCCGTCGGTGAGAAAGGCGACGTCTCACTGATCCTGATCCGTCGGCGGGTCGAGCTTTGTGTTTACGTCTTTGTGCAGAATCCGTGTTCCTGCTCTCATTTACTGTTTGAGCTGTTTGGTGGTTGTTGGAATTTTGTGAGGTTTAACCTGAGATTCTGGCGTTTCGGGCAAAATAAATTTACATTTAAAAATCGATTCAGGATTTTAATGAATCGATATCACATTATCCAAGCCAGAATCGATTTTAATTGATAAATCGATAATCAAAACCCACCCCTACTGCAGAGGTTACTTCAAATCAGTGATAATAACACAGAAATCACATTTGTCCATTCATCCATTTTCTAACAACTCGTGGGGGTGGCAGTCAAGCAGAAAACCCAGATCTCCTGCTCCCTGGCCATCCAGAGGTGCTCCCAAGCCACCTGAGAGAGGTTGCAGGAAGTCACAGCTCTACTCTAGTGCTTCTCTACGCTGAGCACTCAAAGATTTTTACACAGCATCCATTCATTCAAGCATTTTTACTATACTTAAGTGCTTTGTATCTAACACTTACGCTGAAGAGCAAGTTAGTATCCTGCCCAAGGATACTAACTAGAGCAGGCAGGGATCACCGCCAACCTTCCAATTCGGCAGTAGAGGAGGAGAATGACCTGCTCTACTTCCTGAGCTAAAGCCACCACATGACCTCTTGGGACCACCAAAAAATATACCTTCCAACAGGGACGGCTCAGGCAGGCAGTATGGACCAAGCTGTCACTGCAGTTCTGAGGGACTAAATGGACCAGACCACATACTCCTGAAGCCCCGCCCACAGGATCCCCTGAGGAACGTGACTTAATGTCTCTCCCACCGAACACCTGCAGACTGATTGGACAAACTCCCTCAAATAACCTGAAGAGGATAACGAGCTAGTCCGGTTTTGACCAAGGTGGAAACCAGTAAATTGTTGTTTACTCATATTTCTTGACCTCTGCGCTGCGTTTGATTCTGTTACCATAATATTTAATAGGTTCAGTGTTTTGGCCTGTACCTCCAGCTCAGCACTAGACTGGTTTTCTTCTTATTTATCTGGAAGGACATTGTATTTGGGTGAGCAAGTTCTCCTTTTATACTGCATCTCTAAGCTGTGGGGCTCAAAAGGTTCAGTGTGGGGCCATTGTTGTTTTCCTTTAACGTCCTTTTCTAGTGTTTCTTGTTTCTGTGGCGCAGACAAATGTTTGAGCCTCAGCAGCTGGATAGGCTGTCCACACTAGTTCACTGTTTATCCCAGAATTGTGACCGCCTCTCCAATAATAAATATATATATTATCTTTAGTTCCAACAAGACTGAGGCTACATTATAGCTCCTGCTGATATGTATTCAAGAATCAGCTCCTCTGTGAAGACCCGTTTTCCTAATCTTGATGTCATGTTTAATTCTGAACGTTGGCTCACATGTATAGGGTCGATGTCACGCTCCTGTTTCTTTTCTACTCTAAACTGTGAGCTGTAGTGTTGTGCTCTGAACCAGAGGAAACCGTTCATGCGTCAGCGTGCCTAGACCACTGTAATGCTTTTTACCAGGTTATGTGTATCGTCTCATTCATGCCTCCCAGTCATACAACATGCTGCACCTAGCAAGTTCACATTACCCTTTTATTAATTTTCAGGGGCTTTCAGTTGATTTTAGATTTTCAAATTCTCACACTTACATACAGACAAGCTCCAAAATACTTGCTGTCTGCGGTCTTTGCTCACGAGCTCAAAACCTAATAGTTTTTGCTCGCATAAGACTGAAGACTGAGCGGCACAGAGCGCTTGAGTTTGTTCCCGGCTCTGTTCAGTCAACTCTGTGGAGTCTTTCAAAACACAGTTCAAACCTTTTCTGTGTAATCCGGCTTTCTGCTGACGTCCTTTGGTTTGTTATTCAATTCAGTTTTATTTACACCGCGCCAAATCACAACAACAGTCGCCTCAAGGTGCTTTATACTGTAAGGTCGACCCTACAATACTACATACAGAGAAAAACCCAACAATCATATGACCCCCTATGAGCATGCCATTGGCAACAGTGGGAAGGAAAAACTCCCTTTTAACAGGAAGAAACCTCCAGCAGAACCAGGCTCAGGGAGGGGCGGGACTTTTTTCATGGTTCTGTATTGCTATTAATTGTTTTGGAGTGATTGTACAGTACTTTGTGACTTTGATGTCTAAATAAACTTCACTATACTTGAGTTCGTATTCTTTTTTCACAGTTTTCACTGGTATCGTGTTGTGTATTGCATCAGACAGTTCCTATGTTTTCTTTGTGTGGGCAGAAGGATGAGGAGCCAGATGTGGTGCTGGTGAAGGTGGAGGAGGTGGAGCCAATGACGAGACCTCGGAACCGGCCGTGCCTCAGCATACAGGAGGGTGAGCAGACCCGTTCACTGTGAACTGTAGATCAGTTTAGGAAGTGTTCTGACTCCGACTACAGCAGCCTGATGACATCAAACGTGTCCCCTCGAGGGCTACTGTTGCTGTCATTTGGTGCTATATAAATAAAATAGAACTGAGTCGTCAGTCATTATATTGCATCATCTGATGTTTTGCCCTACATCAAGGATTCTCGCTCCAGAAAACCCTGTGAGAATGTAGAGTCCATTTAACCCTAGCTGGGTGAGAACTTGACTCTGAATCTGTCTGTGTCCAGGGTTGGTGGAGTCCAGTACAGACGACTGCAGAGGAGTGCTGTCCTTTGATGAAACCACACAGATGTCCACCAATCGGCTGTCTGACCTGCAGGACTCTGGGCGGGGCTTCTCAGAGGTCAGCTGTGGCCATTCTTCGCTGTGGACTAATAGGGGGGGCGGTTACAGTGAGAGCCTTCCAGGGCTGTCCTCACACTTTGCTCCACTCTCATACTTGCCTGGCACACTCACTGGAGGAGAGCCTGGCAGCTCTGGGAGGGGATCGGCTGCTGAGAACGCAACAGAGAGGGGATCAGCCGCTGAGAATTCTAGAAAGTTGCCCACTTATCCCTTTGAGCAGAAGCTTCCTGTTATTGATCTGTCAGATGAGTCCAGCCAAAGTCAGGTGTCAAGTCAGACGCAAGCAGGACACCTGTCAGTCCAGGGGTCTCAACAGTATCTGCACCCAGGTCCAAGTCAGGGCCCAAAAAATCCCACGAAGAGGGATTGTGTCTGTAGTTTCTGTGGGAAAAGGTTTCCTGCTCCAGCAAATTTGGAATCTCATATGAGAACCCATACTGGAGAAAAGCCATATGGCTGCACCATCTGTGGTAAAAAATTCTCCCAGTTGTGGAATTTGAAGATCCACAGGAACATCCACACAGGGGAGCGACCGTACCAGTGCTCGCTCTGCCCCGAAAAGTTTTCTGACCCCAGCAACCTGAAAAAACACCTAAAGAGACACCATCCACAAAACATGGCCATACAGTCAGGAACATCTTAGATGAAAGGGCTAACACACTGTTAATGAGTACTGTATTTTTCAGACCATTAGGCGCACTGGATTATATTATAATAATTATAAACTCATTCTTCTTGCTTCTTCGACGTCCGTACCATTGATTCATTAATGCTGTATTCAATCACAGCTGCTCTATTCCCATGTTGTTGCAGTATATGAATGGCTAACCTCGTATTGTGGATGGATTATCTCAGTTGTTCTCCTGGCTGAAGTTTGGTCCTTTTACAGCATCCTGCCATGCGACTGCATTTGTCTCTAACTATCAGGAACCCTCACATTAACTTTTATCGAGTGGAAAAAAGTTAACATTCATCCTCCAGCTTCACTGTTTATGCTATGCTAACATAGCTGTGTTGCTAGCAATCACGTAGCACATCATTATATACCAGCTAGCCCAACTTCAGTAACCCTACAAACATCACTGCTGTTTAGTTTTCTGTCCTCATTTATGTTGGAAGTGATAGCAGAGCTGTACGTTTGAATTTGTTTCAGAAATCTCTCAGTCAGAACATGGTATGTCATGTTTAGGTGGAAGCTAGCGAGCTAACTTCCTGCTAACTTCTAGCTTCATTAAATTTTAATAAATTCTGTTTTCATGGATGCCAGGATGTTAAACTTAATTGTTGCACCTGGTAAAGCAACAAAGCTGATGATTTTATTACAGATGAAAGAATTTAGACAGTTTTTAACTCTCAGTGATGCCGCAGTGTTCGTTTGACTTTGGGACCTGAAGTGGACGGAGTTTAGGACCCAGATTACTCTGCGAGGCTCCTGACTACGGTAGCCGTAATGCTCCAAGCGGTGCGCCTTCGTAGCTTACCAACGTCGTACTAAAACACTTTTGACAGATTTTCCAGCGCCGTGTAGCACATAAAGTCGGATCAGGTCAGTAAGCACAACCAGAATTCATACATAAGGCGCACCAGATTATAAGTCGCGCTGTCGAGTTTTGAGAAAATTAAAGGATTTTAAGTGCGCCTTATAGTGCAGAAAATACGGTAGCCTTATTTTAAAAATCGTGTCCAAAAAAAAAAAAAAAAAAAAAGAAAGTGAAAATATGTAAAGAGCAGTTGGCCAGTGTGAGGCAAAACCTCAGCTGCGACATTTCATGCAAAATATCTCACTTGAAAAGAAAACACCCACTCTTTTTGGGGATCGAGATTGCCTTGTAACCAACAAATTGAGCGCAGCTAAAAGGGTCAACACTATAGAGCCAAAGACAGAGGATTAAAAAGAGCCCAGGGCAACGTTGCACATGGAAATGGGCTGTTTGCAGTTTGTCAAGGTCATTGGGCAAAATCATTATCAACACAGATGAGCTCCACTTTGTTTCTTATTTTTCAGCTTCATATCAGAGTGTTGAGGATGTTAACAGTACCCTCACTTCTGAAAATGCTTGTAGGTGTTATGCAAAAGCTTGCAGTGTTTTATATGTGGGAAGTCTTTTATCCAAACCATATCATATTTTGCTGCTTTCCTCTTGACATTTAGAAATATTTTATTATATGGAGCATGGGTTTAAATCTGAAGCACTATTTCATTACTTTGATTTTTTTTCTTTCTGTATTTTA